CACAAGAAGTCAGACTGAGAGTCACTGACTGGCCTAAAGTCACCCAGCAAACTTGACCATTCATTGGGAAACCAGACTTCCCCAGTCCCAGTTACACACGGTTAACTGCTACACCACTCTTTCCCCTAGCTCAAATGGTAACTCTGCCAGCTCCTTCATGCCATGCAGCACCAGACACTTCATGCTATTAACCGTGACATGCTCTTTGGTTAAGCGAACCTGGGCAAGTCTCTGACTCACACACCCATCTCTTTGATCCGCTAAAAACAGTTCACATACAGAAGCAGTTTTTCCTGGGTAGATGCACTTCCGGACCTATTTCTATCTGTTCAGAAGGGTGCTGAACACATAGATCCTGTCACTGGAACACAGTCTTCAGCCCCTAGAGCTTCAGATGTGGTCTCTTTCAATAATACTGAGCATCAGAGAAAAAGGCAGAATCCATTCCTACTAATTCAAAACCTAATAGGTGATTTCAAACTGACAGTGCCAGTGATCTCAAAGCTCTCTGCAGCTTTTTGTGTTTGCTTCCTTAATTGTGTTAAGGGGCAATTTTATTATTATATTGCTTTTATACTGTGCCTTTTTTCCCTCTTGTGAGTTACCCAAGGTGGTTTACATAGCTCCATTTTATCTTCACAACAACAAACAACATTCTGTAGCTTCCTAGAACAGTGGTCTTCAACCTTTCCACAGCTGGGGACCTGTGAAAACAGGAAAAACACCTCAGGGACTGCGAAGGCAGAAACAAAAAGCACTATACACATAACACAGTATTCTGCGTATTAATTTCCAAACACAATACCAAAAAATGAAAAAATTCCAAAACAACCAGAAACTGAGCAACAACAACAAAAAAGCCAACAAAAAACCAAAATATTGAAATTGGCACAGTGTGGCTACCAGCCAGCTCCCACTGAGCCGTCTCTCCCCTTCCTGCCTCCCCCACTCCCAGCAGCACTAGCACACCCTTCATGAATGCAATGCCAACTAAGGAAGAGATGGTGGAGCACAGCCAGCCCCTGCATCAATCCATGGTGAGCAGGATGTGCCCCCCCCCCATGGACTGGCAGGAAATCTCCTGCAGACCAGCACCAGTGCACAGACCGGTGGCTGAAAACCAGTGGACTAGAGAGTCCATCTGGATTAGTCAGCAGCATACAAATTCAAAGATAAATAAATAAAATAAACTCTGCGGGGCAGGTTAGGCTGAGGCTAGACTATGTGACTAGAACCCAGATCTCCCAGGTCCCCAGTTCAGGATTCCAACTACCATATGATGCTGGCTCTCAATTTTCTTTTTTTTTTTTTCTATTTTCTCTAAAAGCCAGATATTATTTCAGTAAGCTTTGGCCTAACTGTAAATCACATTTATTAGTTATCTTGTGATTGTGCAAGCACACATTAAAACTGAGAGTTGCTGGTGGTGGTCTGTTAGTAGAGGGCTGGTAGTTTCCTAGTCAGATCTTTTGAAATAGAACTCTGTTTATTTATTTAAAATTTCTGTATGCCATTGCTTATGCATGGCATCTGTTGAGAGAGCAGTAATTATAATTCCCTGGGAAGGCACTGTGACATAAGTGTCTTGCTAAATGTGGTAATTTAGAAACTTTAATTCTTTAGAGCTGTCAATTGCACACTGCTCTTTGACACCAAGTTGATCATCAAACAGTTTAAAATAAATAAAATTGCTTCATTTCAAGATGTCAAAAAAAAAAAGCTCACTAGTTGATAGCACAGTGTAGCTTAATGAGGCATCACACAACAAGACTCAAAGTTTAGAGGGTATATTTTGTAGTACTAGGTATTAAACCTAAATACATTAATCACTTGCTATTACAGTTTTTATTTAAATATTTTGCTAAAACATTTGCAGAATTCTCTCATTAAATTAGCAGTTTTTCAATTCTGCCCAATTAAAAGTTGTGTACAAATCAAAAGATGTCATGATATTTACTGTCTATACCAAATCCCACCTTTGCTCATTTGCCAAGTTCTCACTTTTAGTACTTGGAGGGCTTGGCTACATGGTATTTCTCAATCAAACATAATAAAACCTATAATTTTATCTAACACAAATGCATTCCACCAAGCACCCAAGTTGGCAAACACGACCATTTGCATGCAACCCTGCAAAGGATATTAGGCAGAGAAAAATAGTGACTAGTTCAAAGCCATCTGATTAAGGATTGTAACCTTCATCTTTTTTATTATGATTAACAGTTTTGTGTAGCTAAATGGCTTGCACACTTAAAATTGACAAAGAATACTATGGCAGAGCAGGAATTTGAATCCAGGTGACCCTGGAGCAAATCCAGGACTAAATATTATGTATAGTGTGTCTATAGCACACACCTGTTCACAAATGCTTGGAACATTTCACATTTAAAAATATTTTAAATCCATAGAAATATGTTTTCAAGTGAGGGGGGAGATTTTTTTATTTTAAATAAATGTTTATAAAATAAATGGTTTGGGAAAAAGGAAATGCACTAAGGAGAAACCAAGAAGGGACTGAGAGGAAAAGGCACAGAAATCAAAAAGCGTTTGTGCCAGAATTAATCTGTTCATTCTTCTACCCTTCTGCATGCTTTTGGATGGTATACAGTGAATTGAAACATTAATTGGTTCACTCAGATACAGGTCTTTCCAAGCCATTTGGAGCCAAATGCAACCAACCTGTCACGCTTTGCCATAGTGAACATATTTACATTAAGTAGTGCATTTTATGAGTTCCTGTGATGACCTGGGGACTGGGAGTTCTTATCTGCAAAGTGCAAGAAGCTCAGCTTTCCTTTGCACAGAGTTACTTATTCCAACATTAGAGTAAAATCTGAAGATACGGAAGCAGTTTTTTTTTTTCTCTTTTGGACTTATGGCTGCTGTGGACATCCTCGCAGTGATTTTCACTTTCACCCAGTAGCATGGCTAGGCTGCTTGGCTGCAGTCAGGAGTGCACAACCTGTGCCTCCATCAAGGCCATAACTTCAGCTCTTCAAGGTGCCCTGAGCCCCACCTGTTGCCGCTATCACCACATTCTTCTCTGCTGCTTTGCCTCTGGTTGTACCTTTGTATTCCTGGCTGTCATTGCGTCTGTTCTCACAGCTTGCTAAGCTGCTTTCCTCCTCACCTCCAGTGATCCTCATACTGATTGCTCTGCTGCACTGGTTGAAGCAGCAAGGAAAGAAAGACCAGGATGATTGGGGAGGAGGTGGATAGGAGGCTGCCTGCTCCCTCCCCACAGCCATCCACATACAGATTCCTGTTTCTTCGCTGCTGATAGCTATGAAGACAGAGTGATCACGGATCTGTGCATCCCCACCCACTACTCAGGAGCCAGCATCACGTGCAGCCCTTGGGGCTAAATCGGTTGTGCACCCTTGGTTTGGATCCCATGTGCTGGTTTCAACAGCAGGGACTAACCATTTCTTCACTGTATTTACTCAACCATGCAAGCGCCACATGAGCCATTGGCAAAGTCTATGTTTCTGAATAGACTCACAAGGACACCTTTTACTTATTCAAGATAATGTCTGCAGACTTCATGATGGATGAGCGGCTTTCAGCAACATTAATGCAAGCTTTGTCGCTTAGACAATGCATCCAAGCTGCAAGGCATTCTGTCCTTAACAATGACTTCATCATTCATAGTCTATTGCTTGCCACCACTTATCATTCCCCTAGTGTTCTGTGAGTATTTGAGGCCCGATGTTTGTGGGATAACCAAAGCTCTAGAGAAGCAGAAAAACAACTAGCGACTATACAACCGAAGCAGAAATTGAAGAAGGCATTCATGAATATATCTACACTGAATCTGCTGTGAGGGAACAAGCTATTTTTAGGGCATTTAGCTTTTTCAGATCCCCTTGGTAACTCTCAGATCATCAAAAAATGTTTCGGTACTCTCCTGACAAACGCCAGGCAGAGCACTCTCTTTCTGACACTGTCATGTTTCACTGCCTGTTGCAGTCTAACAGAATCTGGTGGAAGATATACTCATCTTTCATCTGAAATTTGAAAGCAACAGTTATGGATATTTATTCCACTATAGCTCTTCCATCTTAACAGGGGAGATAGTTCATGTTACATTGGTTTAAAAGAAAAAATGGAAAGCGCTCTTAATTTATCCTTGGAAGTGAAGACAATTCAAGGAAGCCTGTAAAAGTACTAATAATAACACATGTCAAATAGCTGTATTGGCCTAATTAACATTAAGTACAGAGTTTATTAGTATTGGGTGACAACAGAGCTTTGGGGTCAAATTTAAGACTTATTGCCAACCAAAGAGGAAATAATGTCTTCTGGCCTTTGGTTCCTAATTATCTGGATGTCTAACAACATAGCCAAAAGTTCCTAATTAAAGCTGCAGTAGTTATGTCAAATTAATGATCCATGACATCCAAGGTCCTGTCTCTAGTCAAAGCCACTATGGAAGATGGTATTTACAGGATCATTTTATAGGAAGACCCAACTTTAGATGTTTTTGCACAGTGTTAAATAGTTGCATGAAAGATAGGCTTGCATTAGACCATCCCCCCCGAATGGAAGTTAAGTAATCATAAAGGAGCTAAACAGAGCTACACAAATGGTCCTGTTGCAAAGTTCATGACTACTGGTGTATTAAGATTATTCTTCACTATTTATTCCAAATCCAATCCATAAGGCCAGGAATGAGCATGTCAGAGTGTGTCTCTAACAAGCATAAATTCTTCCAGTTCATCATAGCACCACATTCTCCCTTTAGAGAATTTACAGTTAGATCTTGTTTTCTGTTACATTCTCCATTGGGAGTGATGGAGCAATCCTAACATTTTATAATTAATTATAAAAGTACACTCTCTTTAATATATTCTCTTACTAAAGTTTTTAAAAAACCTCCTTCTCATTTCAGAAGCTTAAGACTCTCACTCTCGCATCTTCCTACACATGGTCCCTGTCTGCAGAGGTAGGATCTATTAATATCCCCAATTTTTTACATTTATGTTAGAAATTCTTGTTATGGTGGTGACAAGCCATAGCTCAGTGGCAGAGCACTTGCTTTGCATGCAAAAGGTCCCAGGTTCAATCCCTGGCATCTCCAGATAGAGCTGGGAGCAAGCGTGCCCCAAACTCTGGAGAGCCATGGCTGCTGGGCCAGAAGGACCAAGGGGTGACTCAGGGCAACACAGTTCCTAAGATTCTCCCTCCACGTAATGTAAACTGGCTCTGTTGCAGCAGGAAGATCAATGTTTTGCTGCATCCTTCCTCCTGTCCCCAGTCCACCCCCCCCCCCAAGCAAATGAATGTGGAAAAATATGTGTTAGAGCCACAATGATCTACATACGTACATCTTGCTAATTTTACCCGTCTGGTTAGTGTTTACCTGAATTTGAAATATTTGTTGTTTGGATGTGGCAGTTCCATTAAGCCACTTTTTTGGCTGGTGGCATAGGGGTCACGTGTACAGGTGGTAGGTCAAACTTGGCCAAGCACCTTGTCCACATCCTCAGGCCTCTGTAACTGAAACTTATCCAAGAAAATTGGACCAGACGATGCTCTGTTCCAGTGTAGAAGCAAATAAATACATACAGAGGTAAAAAGTGGGTATAATTGAGGTTACCTGGTTCCACTTCTACTTGGTTCTGTACAGAGACCATATCATGTCTTGATAAGCCATTTTCATATTAAAAAGGTGTTCTGTGTCCACATTCATTGAAGTATTCTCAAGCAAGTGGATGGATAGAAATGATGTTTGGACATAATTTGTTTCTATTATTCTTGTAGATTTACTTCTCCTTTTCTAAGTTTCTCACAAAGATTGTCATTTTTGCACCTGCATATCCTACAATTACATCTGCTTTTGAGTTAACATAAGCAGCAAACCCCATGTCATTTCACTGTTGGAAATGTGCAGCCAATATCTAGCCTTGTACTAAGTATCAAGAAGACAGTCATCCAAAAACTTCACCATTTAAACTGTAGAAATCAAGACTTCTTAGGAGAAAATGCAGCTACTTCTTAGATTACATTTTAAAGACACAGTCCTATGTATGTTTTGACAGAGAAAATCCTGAAAGGAGAGGTGCTTCAGGTGGGGGCTAATGATGCAACTTGACTGGTATATCTGTTTGCATGTTGCCAGAATGTTTTGGCTGCCCTTGAGGTGTGAAAGAGACCTCCTGGCTCTCTGTGCGAAGACTGCTCTCAGAGAAACGCCACTTCAGGGGATCAGAGAGTTCCTTGTCAGAACTGTTTGAAGGTATGAATGGAGGAAAATACTTCTGATGGCACATAAAGGCAGCACATAAGCAGACCAACTTCCCCTTGTGGTGTTCCACAATTCCTGGGACTATTTCTGCACAGCACTTCTCTCTCCCCGTACTATGCTGTATACAAAGTAACTGCAACAAAACCTCTTTCTGTTTCCATGTCCCCCATGTTGTGATGCTATGTTATTGTTTGGTACAATTTAATCCTTTATAAATACATAAGCAGGTCTTAGCCAATCTCTCAGACAGACCACTTGCTGGGCCTTGTTCTGGTGCCAACAGTCAAAGATCAAAAGGATCACCAATCATTGATGTGGTCAAAGGAGGAGACTAGTCCAACAGCTGGATGAAACTGAAGAGAATCAGAAAGGCCTGAAGCTTTAAAAAAGAGATATACATATTTAAAAAGGCTAATGTCTGATTCGGAAAGAGGCACCGGCTGCATACTCACTGCATGAGACAAGTTACTTAGACTGAGGAACTGACTTGAATGTGGAGGATTTAAACAGCTTGATGTGTTCCCATTGGCCTGTGAAGTCACTCGTGGGATCACCTGGCTGCATTTGAACTGGAACTACACCCCAGAGGGCCCCTCTAGACCTCAGAGCTTAATCAGGCCAAAGTTTTGGTGCTCCAGAAGCAAGTGGCCCTAGACTACTGCCAGAGGCGCTGGTTCAAGAAACGCAGACACACCAGAGCCTTGCAGCTATTAAACCTTGCTGTGAATCTGTCCACATGTACTGAAATTTCTTTTCCCACTTCTGACAGCTGAGTAGCATTCCTAGTGCTAATGAACTTAGTGAGGGGGTTTGTCAGTTAGCACAATGTGGATGTGGGTGGGGGAACTGGACTGGTATTGATTTGAGAGAGCCTGAGGAATGTGCATCAGAGGCAAGAATACACTTCTCACACTCTGGGTAATGTCAGCCGGTCCATCTGTACAAGTGAAAACCAAAAGTGTGTGGTGTTGATGCACTTGGGGCCAGATACAATGCCCGTGCATTTGCAGAATTCTCCTTCACTGGCCCGGCCCACCCTTTCTTCTTGGAGACTTTGCTTTCCATCTGTCAGCGCCACATCTGCTTTGGAGCTTGGCCTTTCTGCATGGCTGCCTGCAGGACCTGGCAGAGCACTCTTGCAGATAAAGCAAGCAGCCATCTGTGAAAGGACAGGATGGGGAGCACAGCCGCAGCCATCTCTGTGCCTTTCCACAAGAAAGAAAGCACAGCGCCAACACCATGCAACCCCAGCCAAGCCAATCAGGCCCAGGACGTGCCTCCCACAGGCCACTCCTGCCCTGATGTTTTTTGCTTGCTTCTCCACTCTCCTTTCCAAGGGTTTCCTCGCATCTGTTGCAAGTTCAGATTATCTGTGACTGCTAAGATGAAAGGAGGGGTATTTTATTATTGATTTAAAACATTTCTATGCCGCCCCATTCTCCGAAGCCTCGGGGCGGCTCACAACATAAATTAAAATATAATACATTAAAAATATAAAACAAATTAACAATATAAAATAAGTCGCCCTGGTACAACTCTTTACTACCGATTCTGCAGCTGCAAGTAATTTTACCCAAGGAGTCCACAAATATCATCACAATTTAGAAGCTAAGGATATAGTAAAACACTGGTGAGCACATGCAAAGCATGTTTGCCTCCCACCCAGCAAATAGCAGCTTGTCCATCCCACAGAATTAACACAAGCGAGTAGCGTTCCAGATTCTCTTTGCTTCCCTGCAGGAGCTCCCCTTCTCAACACCGTCTTTGCTGCTGTTAAGAAAAATGTAACTGGGGGAACTATCTGGAGCCGCTTTGTGGCAGGCAGTACGTGTGGAAGGGGGATACCTGCTGCACCTTTGGGCAGCTGGTTGGCCACGAGGGGAACCCTTGGTCTGATCCAGCATGGCTCTTCTCATGCTCATAGGCCATTGCTGGAACTGAGGCTTCAGATTCCTGCAGCTGTACAACTGCAAAAGTTCACCCTTGCACAAGCATGGCTACAATTTTAAAGAACTTTTTTTTCTGCAGACTTTTGTGAAAAGTTTCGAATGACATTGACAGCTCCTCCAAAGTGTTGCTTTGGGCACTTCAAAGGACGTTTCAGTGGTTGTCAACGTGGGGATTGTGAAAATGAAAATTCACAATTTCAGAGGGAGGAGTTAACATGAAAGAATGTTGTGGCAAACCGAAAATGGCTTGCAGTGGTGATGCGGGGGGGGGGGGGGGCGACAGACAAGTGAGGCCTGTCATGACTTTAGTCAGGATACCTGCAAGAGGACTGAAGGGAAAGAGGGGGAGGGAAGGGACCAGCAGCCCACAGTGAGCCTTACTGTCTCCTGCATACACTGTGGGCTATTTGGGAACAGCCGATCTGCTCTGGCTGATGGCCGGGGTGGGCTGGCGAGATGTGCAAAGCCCCTGTGTGGGGAAAGCAGCTCTGCACATGGCAAACGAGGGAATCTGCAACTCAATAGTAAGCAGCGCTAGGATAGATGGAAAATGATTCAGACAGCCCCCACTCCCCAGTCACACCTGTAGCCCTGTCTATACCTGTGAATAAGGCGACTCACATATAATATGGGGTCAATATTTGGGCTGTTTTTCTGAGGTTTGTCATATGTCCAGTGTATAAGACAAACCCAATTGTGCTTCACTATGTTTCATTTCAAGGGGCTCGTATATGCTGGTATATATGGATATTTGTCATCTGGAAGCTTCTAGTGATGTCACATTACCATATTCTAGCTAATAGTCAAGTTATCTTTCCGATTTGGAAGCTGATGGTGGCCTGCAAGAGGGCTGGCTGGCTGGGGTTGGTCTGAAGATGGTCAGCACCAGTGCTGTGGGCCAGTGTGGTGGGGCAGGCGAGAGGGAGGAGGACTGCATAGACAGCACACGGAGAATGCTCCCCTTCCCAGCCACTGCTGCAGCCAGCCCAAAACAGAATGCTGTCCCTTCTGACAAGGCCAGGCAGGCACTGGACTTGGGACCGGGCCTCCAGCAGCATGCAAGACTCGCAACGAGATGTAACGTAACACAGGACAAGTTACCCTGGTACCAGTAAGAAGTTTTAAAAAAAGATTATTAATCAAAACCAGCTTGTAAACATAATTGTTTTTATTATCTATTCATTACAATTGGGATGTAGGACATGAGAAGTATGAATCAAAGCAAACTGGACATCCTAAAGCAGGAAATGGAATGGCTAAACATCACAGCACTCATGTGAGTGAACTAAAGTGGACTGGAATGGGGCGTTTTCAATCTGACAAACACAAAGTGTTTTAGTCTGGAAATGACAAATTAGAAGAACTGGAGTAGCTCTTATACTGAGGCAAGGTGTAGCATAGGCAGTAAGGGGCTATAATGCAAAATCTGACCAAATAATGCCAATCAGAATTTGTGGGAAACTATCAACATAATTCAATCTGTGTTGCAACAGCAGATGCAGAAGAGGAAGAAATTTAAAAAATGTTATGGAGGTTTTCAAGTGGAAATTGATAACATACCAAAACAAAACCAGGGGCAGACTGCAGCAGTGACCATGAACTCTTAATATCAAAGAGTTTTTATCAAAAAGTCAAAATGAAAAAGATCATTAATGGAAACACAGTGCCAAAGTACAACCTAAATAACATCTCCAAGAAATTTAAAGTCCCATAATGAACAGATTTGCCTAACAGACCATGAGCTGGAAGAGCTGTGGATTGAAACCAAGAGACATTGTTAGGAAAGACTGCCAAAAGACAATTCCTGTAGTAAAAAGAAAGAAAAGCCCTCATAGTTGTTAAGAACAGGTGAGAAGCAAAAGGTGGCAGAAACAGGGTCAGAAT